TGGTACAAAGAACAAGCCAGTAATGCACTTTTTGTGTGAACTCCAGTGAGCCACGCTTTCCACTGTGCTCAGTCTCGTGGTAATGGTTGGATACAGATTGATCTATAGCATGACAATGAATAGCCACTTGGTGTACCGCTAAGTATCCGGGGTGATGCACAGGTAGCTGCTGCTCTCTTTGCCCCTATGGGTTCTAACGCCTTCACGAGCTACATGTTGTGCTGTCCAGGCTCTATCAGTTAATGTATCATAAAGGCACTGTTCAGCATGACATCACAGTAGTACAAAGTCAGTAAATGATATTGCTGACTCAAAATACCGTCACGGAAGCACATTTTCATAGGGAATGCTCATTTTTCCTACCTTTCACATGGATGTTAGCTCCATTGGTTTATGGAAATTTAAGCGCGACATATACAGATGAATGTTTCAAGCACCGATGATCATAGGCGGAATTTGGTGTGAATCATTTAGAACCCAGTGTCCGGTAGTTTCAGATAAATGAACGAAAATTCTAGGAAGTCTTGAAAAGCTTGCGTGACACTGAAGAGGCAAGTCTTGGTTTCTGTGCATAGAAATGTTTAAATGCAAAGCATTTCATAGAACTAAGGAAATAAATCATGTCAAGAGTCAGTCGAAATCAGTTCATTCAAGGAACATCTTCTATGGACATGTGTAATATTGTGCCTACGCATCACAATGGTATGCCAGGTATAATGATACAAATCAAAGGCGTTCGTAAGCGCTCAACAGAAACATGGCCTTCTTAGATGGCCGTACCACATGACGAATTAAAGAGACATTGTTAAGAACAATCTGTAGCTGAAGGCCAAGGTGCCTACGGTAGATCGCATCTGAGGCTGCCGCAGGTCGCCATCTAACAACTGCTTGTCAGTCGAATTCCACTCTATAACAGCTGAACTTTCGATTACTACCGCGTTCAATCGCCACCATGCAGGTCTATCCATTTACACGGAATCGGCCAAAAATTACCTGGCTTATCGATGAGACTGAGGTTTACGACGCTTCATCTTCCGCTGCTGCGCTCTCTGCAATAAGAGCAAGTCAATTGTCTTAAGAGTGACAGTGAATGTGAATGTGAATGACAAGTCTAACTTACTGTGGTGTACTTCTCTATAGGTTCTGCTTTGGGTTTCCGTCCTGGCTCCTTGCATCGAAGCTCTTCGAGCGATGACGACATCAGAACCAATGAGCTCTTCCAGTTTTTTCGTTTCCTCTCTTATTGCAGCTACATAACTCAATCATGGGTTCGTGGAGACTTTTTTTCATGCACATGCGCATGAGCTCACTGGCGTAGGCGATAGTCTGAAATAAATTAGACATGAAATAATCACTGATGATGGCACACTGAAGAACCGCCTCAATAAGCGCCGACCCATTGAAATAGCTGGAACGCTTCTTTTGCAGCATCCTGTGTCCGCATAACATCTTGAGTATCTGCGGTGTTGTCAGGCAACTCCACTGGGTCTGCAAAGGTTTGCTTTACAAATTTTTTAACCAACTTCCCACAAGACACTTGAAAATGCTTCTTCACCAGCGAGATTAGTAGATTCCAGCGTTCTCGGGGTGGAGCTTCTGGATAGTGCTGCGCTGGATGAACCGCTACGCGCAAGCGGATGCTGATTAGCAGGTAACACACATTTGGCTGGAAGAATCATTTGCTTGACACATCGTCAAACATTCGAGGAGTATTGTACCCACCTGTTTCGGAGAAAGTCGCTACCGCGTGGCAATGGATGCATGCAACGCCTGGGTTCATGGAATCCCTGCAGGAACATTTCATTCGAAAAGCACAAGCCCCGCAGCGCTGGCAGTGAGAATTGGTCTGAAGTTCGATTTCGAGTAAACTAGTCTGCTAAAGCAATGGACCGAAACTGACCACCGCATCACATTCACATTCGCTTCCTATTGCTACAGTGTATATCACTCCAGTCTTGGATTTTGACAAGATTCCAAAGGTACCGGTTGATATCTCGAAGATTTTGTCCTGCAACTGTTTCGATAAGGAACTGGTAGCATGCCGTTCAACCAAAGGAACCTTGTTGCTTGCGTAGTGAAACAGTGCATCCTTATGACGCTGAAGGGATCGGAATGATCTAGATGCGCCTCCTGTTATTGATCTAACACTCTACAAAACGCGACGATTATGAGGAGGATTGCTATTTCTTCCAATATCACTACCTTAGTGAGCAGACTCATCTCTCGCACAGCAGCATATTCCAGAATAGAAAACAGTAGCGTATCGAGACGACTTGTTTGTTTCTCCTTGAGCACTTCGTGTTTGAGAGCTCTATGCCACGCCTCTGCATGGTTAGATGTCGAAAAGGGCGCATCTTTTCTATAGCAAAGTGCCCACTCATTCCTTCGGCTTGAGTAGAACATTTTCATGTGCTGAAATGAGGAGTTTTCGAGAACAATAGAAGTCCCGTAGATTTTGCTTACCGACAGCATTTCATGGCTTTTCGATCCAACCCACTTCAAAAACGCATCATACAGTTTCTCGAATTCCGCTGCATTTGACTGACTAATTACCTCCGAGAAGAGAGCATTGCCGGTTCTGACATCTTCTGTCTAAATGCAAGCGTGTCTAAATTCATGCATACATGTAAGTTTCAATTTCCACTCACCCTTAAAAATTCTTTCAACTTTCTTCCTACAGTCTGGCTCAAATGAAATCTGCACAGTACTTTCCGCGCCTTGCTCTCAGGGAATACGTCCATGAAGGCGTTGTAGAAGGTGCCACAATCGTCTGTCATGACGAATTGTGTGTCGAAATCAGGTATCAAATCCTGCAACACTCTGCTTGAGCAAAAATTACATCGATTTCTTCCAATAACCCATACTTTGACAATACGAAAAAGGACCGATATCTCCATCGCAGTCATACGGAACGATAGAACAAAGGCGCACGGGAATCCATGACCACCATCATCGGCAACGAGAAGCGTCGCAAGCCGGAACGAGTACCGCGACACATTAAAAGTGTCATCAAAGACGATTCCTTTGCATCCATGACGACCGAGATACTTTTTTCCGCTAGTCGTGACGAGAGCTATAACAATAGTTATGCAGAAACAAGGGTGCACCGTATCAGGACTTAGGGAATACCTAGAACGAATCCGTCTCCACTCGGATCTCCGGATTTAACGTATTCATATGCTGCGATGTCTTCTCTTTGGAGAAGTTCCTCCATCGATAAGAGGTCACTCGAATGTGATCTTCCTTCAATGAGCCCGTTCCGCTCAGCTAACCTTCTGAACTTTATATGCTAGACCGTTACATGGATTTGCAACAGCCAAATAGCGCACTCACTCACCGTACATCCTTCGTTTCCAGATAGCATAATCTGTGTTGTTCATTGGGTCCAAGATTGTAATCCCACCTCTGTTTTCTTATTTTTGAAACAATCTTAACATGAATCAAGATTAGAAAAAGAATAGCAGAATATCACGGAATAACAGCGTTGATTTCTAAAATTTGTATATTTTGAAGATGAATGAAGATTTTTTGGACTGATTACTTACAGTGGAGGGCTCCATTCCCATGGTTAACTTATCTAAAACTTCTTTTTCGTCCTCGTTAGACAGGCGAAGGTATGCGGCACTTACAACATGTCCAAGATGATTGGCACAACCTTCGTAAGTGATATTTCCATCTGTGTGCTCGAATACCTGAGAGTATTTTTAATAGAGGTGGATAGCTATAATTCCAAGACGAAATACTCCCTTCAAAAACGCGGGACAGTGTGAATACAC